TGCTCTAGTTACTCTACACCGTTGAGTGTGTTCCAAGTTTCCTTTGAATGTACTTCTTCTGCCCATTTAGCAAGACATCTTCACCACAGGTGAGGTGTATACCTGGTACAGATGGCCTGCAGTCTCTCACGAGTGTGTTCCTCTGCACAGATATATCACACTTGATATGCTCTCTTCAGACACTTTTCGACAGATGCTCACCTAGGTTCATTTTGTACTCATCCCTCCTCCTTTTCAATGTGGGATTCTAGCTATAATGTGAGCAGAAGTAAGTTATTGTATCGGAAGTTAACATTTTCCTACACTGAAAATGTATTTATGATAGATACTTATCTCCTCTCACACTTCCCACCCATCTTTGCCACTTCTGGTGCTTGATTTTTGCCTAATCTCAAAGTGAAGATTGGGTTTTGTAGCATAGAGAGCGTCAGCTGTGCTAGAAGAGTATGTCACACTCTCATTGATGGAAAGTTGCCACATGCTCATGTTACATATATGCTACTGTTGTAATTTAAGTATATTGCAAGTGTTAATTTTAGTTATTTTTAGAAGTGATAGTTTATCACAGGTTTGTTTATGTAACTGCAAATCATACATTGTGGAGTTCAACTGCCATAAAATGGGGATTGTTGTATTATACATCATCTCACTAGAACTTTCTAAATTTTTCTCAAGTATTACTACATTCTAATTTCTTGTAGTGTGTGGAGAGTTCTAGGCCTCAAGTGGGATGTTTATAAATATGCATCCAACATGTAGTTCAAGTAAGACAAAGATAGACACTTAATTAGGTAAATAGATTGTGTGTTTGTGAGTTTAGCCATAAAGAACGTATAGTGGTGCTTTTTTGTTAAGTGAAATTATCACAGATTTTATTGTAACAACAGAGTAGAGAAGAATAATTCATCTTGTCAATTGTGTTCTAAGTAACTGAACCAGCCTGTGTGGACTTTGATGAAAAGAGATGATTATTTAAAGCTTTGGATACAACTGTGGTTATTAACTGTGTAATGAACATTTGTATATATGTTTGACTTGTTTGGAATATATTATTTTTAAACTAGTGATCTGCGTGCTGTTTGTTTATTGTTGAAATTTATCATCAACAAGTCACAGACACTTGCTGTAAAGAATCCTGCCCGTGTATACATAAAAACCTGATAGCTCATTTACATGCTAAAATGCAGCTGTAACAAGTGGATGTAGGTAGGATCACAAGGCTAGTAGGGAGCAAAAATTTGTGCATATAGAGGGTAGTAATCTTCAAGAAAATATATTATGTGACAGAGGTATCTGTCAGAAAGATATTGTCAGTGTAGGAAAATGGTACCTTTTGCCATTAGGATGAAATTCAAAGAGATACATGCCTCTACTGTATTAACTCCCCCCCCTCCCCACAATGGTAAGTTGATAAAATCAAATTATTTTTGGAAATGGGTTATTAATATAAAAGCTGTGTAGAGGTAATATTTATGATAGATGATGATTAGCCTATGAGCCATGATTACGTAAAGATAGGTGGATTAAACAAAAAGAAATATGTTTATGCAAAATTGTTAACAGTGGTGGAATGACTTATAAGTGAAGAAGTTAGGTGTTTTTCTTGGCAAGAACTAGAAGCTTTTAGTTCAAGGATACAGTTAAAGTACATTTGTCCAAGAATTTCATTTTAATGCTGATATATTAATTTTACAAATACAGCTAATAAATCATATGCTAGAGGTATAGCATATAGTTCCAGCATATTTCATTGGGTTTATATATTTGTGTTTCATGTGGATAAACTTTTTGTTACTTATATTAATGATACTTTCATTATACACTGTCTAGATGTTAGTAAAAACTGGGTCAAATATTACAGAGGATTTGTTTCAGTTGTATTAGTTTGATGGTATTATTTTTAAATTAAATCTGATATATTTGATGTATTGTTTATTTAACAACTATTTTATTTTAGTCTTTTCATTTTTGTACTATTTAATTTTTTTTCTCAGTAGTCTTGCTACATTTTCCACTCTCAAAATGTTTGAGTTTAGTGGAGACACTTATGTGCAATTCCTTACTGTCACTTTCCACAGAAAATCAAACTTCTCTGTGAGATTCTTATAAACTGAACTTCTAATGCGTTCATCATCATTTCAATAAAATTTCAAATGATAGGAAAAGAGTACACAAAAAGGACCTGCCATGTCAAAAAATAAATAAACACAAGCCCATAGCCAGGGTGGTTCAGAGGGTGCAAATGATACCTCCAATTCTGCCAAAGTTCCACTCGCCTATTAACATTTTTTTCTTTCCTTTTTTTGATGATGGCTTCTCATTACATAATTGCTTTTTTTTTAACACTGTGCATACATGCAGAAATAGCATTTTCATACTTATCATACTAGAAATGATTATTTGCATTGATAATAAAGAAACTGTTACATATTTTGAAATTTTTTTATCCTTGGGCACTAAACTTACACATGAAATGAATTCCACTATGGACCAAAAGATCCTCTCACTTCCAGACCTGGCAAAGGGCTTGATAAACACATACATTTATCCCACTTCTATGTACAGACAAAACTGTTCACCCAGACATGCAAATAAAAAATTAGCATATTGTTACGACAGCGGAAGTCACGTGATGCTGGTAACACATGATGAATTTCTCAAATGAACATGAATTATCGGAGAACACCGAGTTTGTTTGGGATGCCATCTTTTTTTAGTACATAAGCCTGGCAGAGAAAGCCTGCGTGATTGAATGAAAAGAGTTTCGGGTAATTTACGATCCTATTTCGAGCTAGTGTGTGTTTTGTTATCGAGATTCTGAAATTACTGTGTGCTAAAAGTTTGTATCGAGGAAGAATAAACTGGTTTAATCAAGAAAGGACTTGTATTGCTGAAGTTTCTCAGGAAGAATTTCTACCAAAAATTAACAAACAAGCAGATTCGCAACAATATCTAGCATTTTGAAATTATTTTGAAAATTTCTGACAATATATTTTGTACAAAACTACTGTGTCTGCTGCTCTTGTGGTGTATTTTTTATAATAGAGAAAGAGCCTAACTTTACCTTACAGTAACTTATGGACTTCCTCCCTTCCCAGTTAGGTGACATCTCTTTCGAACCACAGCAAACCATTTTGATATCTACTTGGTATTAATAATGCTAAATAAAAAACAGCAAAATACTGAATTGAAAGTAGAGTCCAAATAGTTCATAATATGAGTGCATTTCAGTTAATTGATTTATGATTTCACTTCTTTAAAATTAAATTCATTACATCCTGCTTTTTGTATTTCTGTGTCAGATTGTATTGAAAATGTTACTGTTAATATATATTGCACTATCTTTGTTTCTCCACCTATAGCTGGAGGTACAGAAACAGTTGCTTTTCCTCAAAATGATGGAACATTTAGACTTTTTGGTTACAAGTGGTTTTCTTCAGCAACTGATGCCAATATTGCTTTAACACTTGCTCGTATTGCAGATAGCCAAGGGCAAGTCATACAGGTTTATGCATGTTTTACATTTCATTAATTAAAACAAAAAATAACATTATTTCATATAGATCACAAGGTGTGTTGAAATATTGATGTGGATTGCTTTTGTTTTTAACATCATAATTATCTGTAGGTCCAATAAATATTTCCACCAAAAATGTGTAAAAGTACTAATGAGATATTGTAGTACTGCATTGTTTATCTGTTGTCAAATTGGCTTATAAGCTTTGCTTCTTTGGGTGTTCTACACTGACTCAGTGTTATATAATTTATGAAATACAATTTGAAAAGTGAAGTATTTAAATGTGTGGTAAATCAGAATATTTTATATTAATAGTCTTGTACATTTTACATTAATAGTCTCATATCATTCTCACAGTTGTATACCCCTCTGCCTCATGTCTGGCTGATCAATCCTACATTAGCATGTTCTATTCAAACAAGCCCTAACATAGATATTATTTTCTTGGCACTTGTGTGTAGAATTAAAATAATAAGTAAAGAACACACAACATTAAAATGAATACACAATTAAAAACTTCTAAAATGTGGACTCTACATGTTTCAGTGTTTATCACATCATCTTCAGGAGTGAACCCTACTTATTTCATCAAATTCTCTCCTGAAGTTGATGTGGTAAACATCAAAACATTTTGAGTCCATATTTTAGAAATATTTTTAATTGTGTATTGATTTCAATGTTGTGTGTTGTTTATTTATTATTTTAAGCCTTAACATTCTTTTTTTTAAATAGCAATCTATCTTATTGCACTTTTATTGGACAGATGAGTCTCATAGTTTCATCTCACATTGTGTAATTCTGTAGCTGTTTTATTGATCTGTCATAAGTACAAATGTTTAGCATAAATTTATTTGTATGATTTCGTGCATGTTGCTAGTTTGTAACAATTTCGTTTTTCTTAAGTCTTATATAGTAACCACAAGTGAATGATAATGAATTGAATTGCAATTTGTTTATGTGCAGAATTTTAGAAAATGATCATTAACTCTAGGAAAAATCTGCTGAGAGTTTCATATCTGCAATTCTTTTAATTCTGAAGCTTTTTATTTTTGTTTTATTTGTACAGGGAACAAAAGGATTAACTATGTTTTATCTAGAGACATGCTTACCAGAAGGAGGCTTGAATAATTTGGAAATGGTTCAGCTGAAAGAAAAGTTAGGAACTCGTCAACTACCAACAGCAGAACTCTTACTGAAAGGAACAGTAGCTTATAGGGTGAGATTATTATCAATTTGGTAAACTATGTTTGATCACAAAAACATGTTTAGTGCACATATTGTTGAACTACTATTAGTCAATGTAATAAATGTTACCAAAGATCTAAAGAGTTTTCTTAAGATACCTAGAAATGTAGGTATTACATAAGTAACCAGTTTTTGAAACTTATAATTGATTTTAGCAGATTAGTAAACATTTTTTTACTTGGAAATGCAGTATTATATATTAAACAAGTCTTGACACTTTTTGAATATTTAAGCTTTCAAAACCTAAGTAGCTTTGACCATATCAGAGTAAACAATTTTCAAACTCTTGAAAATTTGAGCATTAGACAATTTTAGACTATTAGAGATGTGCAGAAATTACTTGAATAAAAAGTCTGACATTCTTTTTCTTTTATTGGAAATTCAACCATTATACAAATAATCAACTTTGACACTTGAAATGCAGGCATTAAACAATTGCATAGTTTCAGCTGACATTGAAAGTATAGATATTAAATAAAAAATAATGTAAATTGTCTTTGAAATAAAGACGTGATAGCATGTCATGCAACCAAAACAACCTGCAGGACACACTGTGTGTTATTAACAGGAGTGATAGTTTAGCAATGTACCACTTCCTCTAGCTTGGACTGTGGTAATCTAATCCAAACTATCACATATTTTCTGTGGATGTGCTCTATTGGACCCTTACTTCATATTCCAAATTTCAAGGCAATTCATTGAGAAAGACATGGGATATATAATCTCCAATTCTGATTGAATTTCTTCCTTTTATATTTCTTCTCACCTAAATTACAAAAACTTTATTTGATAGTTTGTTTGTTATGAATTTCGCACAAAGCTACACGAGGGCTATCTGCGCTAGCCGTTCCTAATTTAGCAGTGTAAGACTAGAAGGAAGGCAGCTAGTCATCACCACCCACCGCCAACTCTT